TAAGGCCCTTTAGAAAAAAAATAAGATTGGTCGGCCTAAAATCGATGCCATGAAAAATACCAAAAAAGCGGACCCTTTGGTTGGTGAGGGGGACGACTTCCTTTTTGCTTCGCTTCTGGCCTTTTCTAAACATTTTGAAATAATTCAAGTTTTGAAAGTTTGATGAAAAATTGCCATAAAATTCAACTACTTTTTTTTGTTAGGAGTAATGAAAGTAGTGACTACTCTTATAAAAGTCTTGTTGATTTTTTTTTGTTTTTTTTTTCAGGAAAAAGTCTTAAAATGCTCTAAAAACTTGTGATTTCTTTTGAAGTTCATTGCATTTTTATTTCGAACTCCCTTATCGAACAGCAAAATTGTAAAAGTTACGAAAAACGTGATCGACTTCTTATTTCGAAAGTGAAAATTAATTATAAGATTTCCCAGCGAAATAAAAGTTTTAACTATTGATCCAGTTTTCTCAAATTGGGTTATTTTTAACAAAAAAGTGTCCATCATAAATTGTTCTACAAATTCAAAGACCTTTAAGGCCATCTAATTTTTTCATCGAAATTCAAAATTTGAAGATTTTTGAAAAAACAAGTCGTTTTTTTCAGTTTCATTGCTTTCATTACTCTTTTCCAACCGTCAGTTGGCTATGTTTAAAGTTTTTCCCTAAACTAATAATATATCCACTTCCAGCACATGAATTTCAATGTCTTCCTGGAAGGAACTCTGCTAACCTCTCTGCAGCTACACGACTCACAGCAAAGATGTTTTGACAAACTATTTTAAATGCTTCATTATTTAAAAAAGTTATGACATCTGCATAAAAAACAATTTTATTTTGGAAAATCCGCCAACTCTTTCAAAAAAGCTGAATTGTTTTTTCTAGTCAGTTTTTGCACTATTTATAAATATAAGTTTTTCAGATAATGATCATAGTTTTCAATCCTCGTTTAATTTGAGTTCTTTTTACTTATTGATCTCATTTTAGAAACAAAACTGATAACTCTGTGGTATTGCATAGTTGCACGTAAAGTTGAGCTTCAATTGCTAAGTTTTGAAATACCAGTCTGGTAGAAAGATCGGACTCAAGTTTTGCTCCTGCTTTTGGCTGCGGAGTGGGTAACTGCCCTGCCTTGAAAAGCAGACAGCGCAGTGACAACACCCCAATTCCTTTCGCGATCCTAATAAAATACTTTGATTTTATCATTATTAAGACAAGTGCAAAATTATTAGGTTTAACTGGTCTTTTAAGCATTTGTTTTTGCTAAATAATATTCGTTTCATCAGGAAGGTGAAGAGAAAGTGTGAGTCTCAGGCGAAAAGCTGAGAAAACAAGAAATTATGAATTTTCAAAATTACTTCCCGCACGTGTAGTTGTTTTAAAACGTTTTCCCTATTTTATTTATCTGTAACTTTCCTCTTAATTTTTTTTTGTTTTCAAGTTCCATAACGAACCGAAATAAAATTCTATTGTTTTCATTAGTTGGACTTATCTTTTTTAAGTAAACCTAATTACCTCGGCTTTTTTTGATAGCATTGAGTCAGCTTTGAATTTGAAATTTTTCTTCAAATTATCCCTTCAAACGCTATATAATTTACAAACGAATTAACAATTTAACAACGGAATTTTTTACCCATTACTTTATTGTGTTTTAGCTGAATAACATGGACAAACGTTGTGTTTCCGAGATAAAAAAAATTGAACAAAATTTGACCATGAAATAATCAATGTCTTTTCTTAATTGTTTTTTGGTTAATATGAACCAAAACATTTCTATCAAAACTCAGATAAGTTAGTGAAAATAACACAAATTGCTGAAAAATTGACAACATTCAAGGTTTTAAGGGTATATAATTTGATTTTACTCAATGAAAAAAATAGCTGGCCTCTTTTTTGTGACATGTTTGCAGTGTCAACCAATATATGTCTCGAATTTTGAAAATATTGGCAAATTAGTCGGTTAAACGTTCACGAGTTGTTTGAAACCTGTAGTTTTTCAAATTTTTCAAGTGTTCAACGATTTTCTCTTAACATAAATTACTTCATATAAAATGAAATTAATGAATTGCTTTCTCGCTTTTTTCTCTCGGTTTAATCAAACACTATAAAAATTGAGTAGCAGCAAAATTATGCTTTTCCACAAAATGAATAGCAGGAAATTTAGACAATCAAAAATGCAACAACAACGATCAAAAATGTTGTTCAATTTTTTCAAAATAAACTTTGTGCTTTTGATTTTCTTAAATGAATTCGACTAAAACCTTCTGCGCTACGTGCACATTCTTCAGCTATCCTTGTAACTCTTGATACTTGAATAAATAATTAACTAAATTTGGTTCAACTACTTGACAATGTCCTACTCAGTGAGTATTTGCATACAAAAGAAATTTGGTACAACCGATTTAAAAGAGCACAATGCATTATTATAAGGTTGAGTTTGATTTCTAATTTTGAAAATACCAGTCTGATTAAAATAATTCTTTCAAAAAGGGAGTCATTTTTTCTCCCAATTTTGGTCTGGATATTGAAATCAAGTTTATCGCCAGTTGTGTGGACTGTTTATTTCTTTGGCATTGAAAAGCAGACAGCGTGGCAACAAAGCCTCCATCATGTTTCAAGCCTAACACAATACTTTGAATTTTCAATTTAGTAAGGCAAGAGCAAAACTGATCAGTTGTCTTAATCTTATGTTCTAAAAAATCCAAAAATGAAAATGTTACTTTAATCAGAGGTATAATAAAAAGGGGATAAAAGAAGTCTGAAATCTAATCTGGAGGTGCGGATTTGTCTCAGCCGAAAAACTGAGAAATAAATCAACCTGAGTCTTCCAAATCGTTTTCCCTACTCGTTCAATCTTGTAAAACATATATATTTTTTGTAAAACTCAATGTTCCAGGACAGATAGAGATAATTTTCTTTTGTTTTTGTTTCATTTAAAACTTTAAAACTTAACCTAAGTACCTCAGTCATCTTTTGAAACATAGAGACAATTGCAATTTAATTTTGAAAAAAAAATTCAATCTTAAATTGATCACTTCAATCGCAAGAAAAGTTACAAAGTGAAAATTTTTGCGTCTGGTAACATTTGAAGAAGAGCAAATTGCTCGTCTCAATTCACTTTGCAATTATTCAATTTGCCGCGGACATTTTAATGGGACAAAATATGTCGCGGTTCATTAGTTTCTTTTTGAATTTTGGTCGAGAAGGTAGTCTCAAAAGCTGATCACAGGCCAAAAATTGGATAAGTTTTTTATCAGAGTTGACCACTTTTACCGGGTTTTATCCAAATTTCACGGACAAAGTAAAATTTCTAAGATCCGATAATTGAAAAAGAAAATTGATGGTAAATTTATCATTGAACTTTTAAATTGGATTAAAGTTGTTCGACTCTAAAATTTTAATCAAAAATAACTTAACCTGCTGAAAAAACGGTTAAAATTCAATGTTACTTAGTGCTTTTATGTGATTTTACTCAACAAAAAATGTTTGCCGTTTTTTGTCATAAGTTTTTAGTGTCACCCAATGTATGGATTCTAATTTCAAAATAATGTGTGTTTAACCGGTGACACATTTACAAATTCTCTGACAAGCGTAGATATGCAAAACTCGCAATTTTTCAACAATTTTTTTTCTAAACAAAATGTAGTTGACAATATTTTGTTTTTTTAATCACTCTTTCTTGCTCTTTTTACCACCACTCTTGACTAAATTTGAATCAATCACTACGCAATGTCCTTCTCAGTTTTATAAATCAATAACTAAATCTTATAAATCTTCGGTATAAAAAATCAATTAATTTGGTACAACTGATTAAAAGGAGGTATGTCTGCGAACACACATTCTTGAAAAAATCATATTAGCTATAGAAGATAAATAAATATAACAAAAATTTTTCTCGGGGTTAGAGGATGATGCGGCTGTTCTAATCTTTCTTGTACTGCAGTTTTTATATTTCTTATATTTGAACAATTGAGGCCAAAGTGTTGAAAATTTAGTACGTGAATTTATTACCAAACTAGAAACCCATTTTGTTGTCATATATAACGTCGTAAATTTGATAGATCATCGTAAATTTAATCTTTTTATATGGCAAGGGGGGCGATAGAAGAGCCTAAAAGTAGGTTAATTGAACTTTTCGAAACATTCCAAAACGCTATTGTTTCAGCCAAGTAGAACCCACATTAACCAAAATGATTACAATTTCCTAGATTCTGAATTTTGTGCTTGAATTTCCTTTTAAAATTTATAGAGCTAAACCTAAAACTTTTCTCATCTCGTTTTAATTGGTAAGGCGGCAGTGGTAAATTTAAGGCGCGGAGAATTTTAAATCAGGTTTAACATGTAAGATTATAAACTTAGGAGCTAAAAAAATATAGACTAGAAAGCTAAAAGAATGGTTCAAGTATCTCTTTTAATCGAAGGATTGGTGGTTCGAGACCCAGCATGATCCGTGCGCGTTTCTTGAGAACAAAGTAAAACAACCTGCAAATCTCTGCAAAGACCCGATTAACTCGTATTTTCTCCATAATTTTTTGAGGAACCAACCGTCTCACTTTCCTTAGATAGTTTTACACTCCTGGTAGATCATCTGATGTTCTCAGAAATCAAGTTTCTCCTTTTTTAAATTTTGCCCCGCGCCATATATCAAACAAAATTCTCTATATTTTAAAATACATATTTACTCATATTAATCATATTAATTGCCATTCTGTACGTGGTAAGGCGTTTCAGTTCAACTTCGGTCAGCCCTGATAAGAAAAATATACCAGTAATAAAGGCTGTTAATTTATTTATTCTTTTTCGAACCCCTGTTTGATCAATCACAGAGTTGTTGACCCACTGACAAAACGGCTCCCGAACTATGTTTGGATACCGATACGACCATAAAAGTTCAGCGGCGATAATCCTATGATGCAATTTTGATTAAATGTGTTTCCATGGTTTGTCAAACATGCAAAATAAACTTTGACCAATGAACTGTGAAGTTTTTGGGAAGTTCGAGCCATAGTTTTGGTTACGGGTATTTTCATAGCTTTGTATTTGTATTTGGTACAACACTGATAAGATTTAAATACTTTAGTTTAACTTGTTATACCGATAAGAAGTTAACTATTTATTGACCATTTCCGCCCTCGATCAGTTAACTTAATCCACCGACTTACAATTTAAGTTTGGAATTAGAAGAAAAAATCGAAAAACAGTTGACTAAAATGTTGACAAAATTAGCTCTCCTAACTCTGATATCTCTGGCAATTGTCAATGGAAAAACGACGAATAGACAACACTGGAAGAAAATAGGAAAAGATGTCAAATGTAAGGAAGGTCTCAACAATCTGGACTTGGTAAGTTTTCCAATCTACGTTGAAGGCGATTAAGTTTTATTTTTCAGTTTTTTCTTTTTCGTCGCTTTACAGTAACCAGAAATTAGCGCTTGTGGTGTCTTGGGATGCAAATCGTGCATGATTTCTTGCAAGGTAATTCTGAAAAACTTCAAAAATCTTCATTTGCGGTAGAAAACTGGCTGAAAACACGCTTAGATCTGATGGTTTTTTTGCCTAAAATGCTAGGTTTTTTTCGGCCAGGTTATTTTTATTCATAAGCGCTCAAGCTCATGAGATACTTTCAAGAGTTGTTTTTTCTTTGTTATTATAGGCTTCGGAGCTTCTGGATTTGCTAAATAACAAGCAATGCCCAATGATCAATCTGCAGTGCGTGGCAGCCTACAACAACCCCTATGTGAATCTGCCCCTGTTCCAGATGCAGACCTCAGACCCCCAGGACGCACAGTTCGTAATTGAGGTAAGTGATTGTATTTCATTCAGAATTTAAAAAGTTATACCGATTCGCTTATGGGCTGGGAGGGGGAGGGGGGGTTATTTAGAAATCAGACAGTTATGTGTAGGTGTTGGGAGGGAAAAGGGGCGTAAGTCATTGCAGGAGAGGGTTTTTGAGCCCCCCTTGTCCCCAAACAGGCTCTCGCATTGCGATTCAATCTTCAACAAAAGGAAGGTCATTCTGTTATTTTTTACCGTATCCATTTTTGACAGATCAATTAGGACGTTCAACGACAATTTTTTTCAAAACTATATACACGCAGTACTGCTCGTATACTAGGCCGAAGCCCTGAATGTTCCGAGTAGCCCTCAATTGGTCTCCAAAACTTTTGGTAAAAAATTATTCATAAATTAAAAATTTGGACTGTCAATATCAATTTGAAGTGTTGAAACTTCAGTCGTTATAAGAAAATACAGTGCTGATTTAAATTCTCCGGACAAAACAAATAAAAATCGAATTTTCAAACGCGTTTTTCTCAAATTACACTGAAACTACTTTGTTAATTGATGAGAAAACTATATCACAAGAAGCGTCCTGCATAGCCCAACAAAGTTTAAGAAGAGTTAAATCTCCAAAAACCAGTATAAGAGAAAAAGTTTTTACTTGATAGTCAATAAATGTAATTTTTACTATATAAAAACCAGAATATCTGTTTAAAAACAAATTTTAAACAATTTGCGCAAACTTTTGGAGATTTAACCATTCTCAATTTTTGTTGGGCTATGTAGGACACTTCTTGTGATATAATTTTCTGATCAATTAACAAAATAGTTTCAGTGTAATTCTTGATTAATTGAAAAAAGCCAAAATATTCCATTTTTCGGGTAAAATTTTGGTTGAGAATTTTGGAGAAAAAATTGCACCATAAAAATTTTGATGAAATTCTAAGCAACTTTTGTTCTCTTCACTTTTTGTCTAATCTTAACCCAATTTGAGAAAGACGCGTTTGAAAATTCAAGTTTTGTTTATTTTGTCCGGATAATTTAAATCAGCACTGTATTATGACCAGTTAGCGTGCGTGGTTTCAATTTTTCAATTTAGAACAATTTTGTGTGCGGTATGAAAATCTGAGTTACGCTTTCGCGAGGTCTTCAAATTGTTAAATGTTCATTTCAAGAATGCATAGCACACCCAATGAGGAACACGTACATTCCAGCTTCGATCCCCATTCTCAAACAAAATTTCTCGTACAAACTGTGAACGAAATTCCACACTCCTGCAAGAGGCTTGAGACGCGCCGACTCATGGGTCGCGCAAAAGTCTAAACATGGGTCGCGCAAAGTTGCAACAACATTCGCGCAAATTTGCAACATGGGTCGCTTAAAGTCGCAACATGTGTCATGCAAAGTCGCAACATATCCGTTATGGGTCGCTCAAAGTCGGAACATGGGTTGCGCAAAGTAAAGACATTGGTCACGCAACATAGCTCAAAAAGGGGTCACGCAAAATTGCAACATATGGTCGCAGCATACCTGATTTGGGTAGCAATGGTCTCAACATACCCATTTTGAGCCGCAATGGTCGGAAAATACGTCCTTGACCTCGACCCGGAAAATTTCTATTCATTAAATCATATATCTGGCTTACTCTTCGTTTTAATGACGCTAGCACTAAGCTTGGATTTATATTCCTAAACAGTAAATTATGATTTATGCTCCCGCATGTAACATTGCGTAAGTAAAAAAGTTGGTCAAAAACAGGCGCCAAAAACAAAGTCAGGATGTGTAATTTGATTTTCGATGGTAGGTAAAGATAAACAAATTGCAATACAGTATATACTTAAGTTCAGAATTTCAATGGGCAACATTTGGAAGGTTTATATAGAGCAGCATGCTTCTGGAAGAGCTCATTTTGCAAAGCAATTAAAGAGTCGGCAAACACCTATCAAGCAAGAATAAAATCAAGCAAGATAAGCAAAAAGCACTAAGTGACTAATTTTTTTGTTGAAAGGACAAGTTACGGAAAGTTTGATGGCTATTCTCAAGGACGAAGAACCGAATAGGCGAAAGACTCACGGGCGAAGAATCGAAAACAAAAACAGTCGAGAAAGAAACCAATTCACTTATTAAGAAGAGTCAATTGCCGTTCAATTAAAAAGAACTAAATGAAACACCATTCGGCTTGTTTTATAACGAAACCCTTGCGAAATGTAAAATTTGTTACAATTCGCCGGCGGCCAGTGACAATTTGAAAGTTTTTGCATATTTCTGCCAATTTCAATATCAAGTTCCTGGAAATGTTTACTTTTTTGAGAGTTTAATGCTTTCGTTCCAAATTTTAGAATACTGAAACCTGATTGGCTGCTTTTTTTTCGTCCGTTCGATTTTTCGCGTATCAGGGATTCCAAAGAAAGTTTCATCAAAACAAAAATTGAGCGATGTATCGACTAGCATAAAGCTCGACTAACATGAAAGTTTTAAAATTGAAAATTGTATCAACTAACAGAAAAATCACAAAAATCATATCTAGTTAAAGTTAAAATCACTATAACAAAAATATTCGTGAATCACAATTTTTTCACACTTTTCATAATTGGCGCGAAAAATACTGTTCGGTTCAATCCATTAAAGGTTGGAAGCGCGACTTATTACAAATAAATAAATAAATTCGTTTTCTTGTTGTTTGTTCAGTCCCTCAAATGCTCATTTTTCTGTTTCTCAGAAATGAAAGTTTCAATTTGACCGGATTATGATTGTAGTTTTATGTTTCTGAGGATGAGCGGATTATGATGGTTGTTTTGAATTTTTGAAAGATTAAGCTAATAAAAGTATGCTAGTCTCTACAATTTCATGTTTTCTAACTTTTAGTCGAGCTTTATGCTAGTCGAGCGATCCCCAAAAAATTGTTTTGGTAGATAACACAACAACCGTTTAACAGGTTGAGATTGCGGCTGTTAGTGAAAATAATTTTTGTATCAACAAAACAGAGTTTAAAAATGGTCCACAGTTAAGCTTTGGATAGAAAACCCACAATTTCTACAATACCGCGCAACTGGCTGCAAAAGTCAACTTGTGGCAAAAAACATTAGTACGAAAACTCGCCAGGTTTTAAAATAAAATTTAAAATCAAAAAAATTTTCAAAGTGGCTGTTGGGCGATCTAAGCAAGCGCTGCCTCTATGCTTCAATAACCGGCTCTATACTTCGTATAAGGAATTATCGTCTGTTGGCTCAGAACACGTTGGTGCGACTGCGGTATTCAGTATATTGCGAGTTGTTTTTTTTTGGACCAAGTTAACATCCTCACCCCTAAACAAGTTTAGGGGAGGATGTTAACTTGATTCTAATTTGGGATTTTTCAGCCAATCAGAATCGAGCATTTTAAATTAATTTTAATTTAAATTAAGCGCTGGGGTGGAGGATCTTAACTTTGTCTATTAGGGAGGGGGGAGGGGGGGTGGTCGAATGTTAACTTGATCCGACAAAACTTATTTCCGAAATTTTGTGAGTATTCTGACCGTTATTTTTTCTAATAAGTACCATGCCATAATTGTTCACAAAAGAATAAGTCTTTCTTCTGAAATCAAATATGAAATCAACTTGAAAAAAAAAACTAGCGATATTTTAAGAATTTAAATCATCGGAGCTTTTTTTTGTATTTTGCTCACCTTAATATTTTAAGGGTTTAGATTCGGGGGCGGATTTTGGGGGGTTGGTAGGCGGATGCCCCCTCCCCTCCCCCCTTCGGGGATTTGCCCCTCACCCACCAAAGGTATTATTTTATGACATCCATTTTGACCGAAGAACCCTAAACTTTTTTGAAGGCGCCTTGGGCGCCAACAAATACTAATTTTGAAGGGGAGCGCATGTCAAAGAAAACGCTCTGTTGGTCAAAATTTTCCAAAAAGTGCCCAAAAACGGTATTTTTGACCTGTTTTTTTTTTCCTAAAATTTGTCTGCGGCTCAAAACTTTTCATGAAAATAATGTCTTTATAAGGTTCTGGGAGCGCTCGAAAACTTTTTGAAAATCCACCCCCTCCCCTTGAGAAATACCTATATCCGCCCTTGCATAGTTACAACTTATCTTAACACGTCTGGTCCAAAAACGTGTTCAGGTGATTGTCGCTCACCAAGTTATATGTTCATTAATTTGTAATGCAACTTGATTTAGATTTACAAACAAATATTTTAAATTTGCCATTTACAGATTTCGCGCGCAATATTCAAACCATTTCTTTGACATATTTATCGTACCGGTTCTATAACTTTCTCGATATTCAATAACACGACAGAGACAGACTAATTCTACGGATGCTACGAAAATTTTGATCTACTCACGCACTAAATTGTTTTAAAAGTGGAGCAATTCAGTGAGTGAGTTGATGACCTCAAAACAACATCACTAAGGCGTTTGTTTATGTAGCTTTGGAATAAAACAACTTGCCACAAAAACAGCTCGCATGAAAATCGATTTTGATTGGCTGAAAAATCCCAACTTAGAACCAAGTTAACATCCCCTAAACGTGTTTAGAGGGAAGGATGTTAACTTGGTCCGTTTTGTCGATTGTCGATCTTTTTTTAGTCGATGAAATTGATTTTCCGAATTCTCCCAAAGCATTAAAAGACTTCTTTTTTGCCAATTTTTTTGCACTGCATGTAAAATTTTGAAAAATCAGGCCAAAAAAGGCATTTTTTGGCACTTTTTGGAAATTTTTGACCAAAAAATCGTTTTTTGGCGCGCGCTCCCCCCTCACAATTAGTCTATATTGGTCCGTCAGCCAAAAATGAAAATCACAAAATAGTACAAAGGTCCGCCCCGCCCCCCTCGCCTCTAAATCCGCCCTTGGATAGAGCAATCCAATTTTGAGAATTCAAGTCAATTGCTTCCCTTGTCTATTTAGAACCTTATACAAACCACCTAAAGAGAGTTTTACGGAACCTTTTCAGCAAATGTTTACATTTTAACGACCCTAAATGTTTGTATAGTTTCCAAAGAACCTCTCAAAAATCTGCCTGCTGATTACGGTAATTGAATCTTTCTTATTGAGCCGAGCTTATAGCTCCGATAGCAAACTGTAAAGATTTTTTTTTATAAAATCTACTTTTTGAATACTTTTTTACAGTTTTTTTTAAAATATATTTTAAGTTGAAAGCTGTTATTAGGTATTGTGCTACAAAGGCCCTGGTCAGTTGAAAAACAGCAATGGCAACACCAGTTTCCTCGAGTTCGTGGCCGACACTGAGCTGAAGAAGGTCACGGAGACCCAAATAGACACGTTCACCTTCTACCCCGACTTACAAGATATGTCCAAATACGACAAGGTCAGGTTAACGAGAAATTTGAAAAAAAAAGATTGAAATTAAATTAGAAAAAAATATGAAATAAATTGACATAAAACCCGTAATTTTTTCAATTCTTAGACTCATTTTTGTTTCAAGGAAGTGGGAAGTGTTCGAAATGAATTTAAATTGTAGTTCAAATCAATTATATGACCTTTTGATAACCTAGATTCTAGTTTTCTAGTTTTTTTATGGCTGTCCTATTACAAATTGAACTATGATGCGCAGCGGGTTCAATTATATTATTCGATCAATGAACTGTATTTATTTCTCTGCTCAACTGCAGGACTTCGTCATGTACTACAATGTGGGAGCCAGAGGCCAAACCAGTGTCGGAATTGTAGCAATCGCCCTAGCTGTTCCTGTCATTCTTCAATATTTCTTCTGAACTTATTAAACAGAATTGATATAAAGTGTAGTGCATCTGACGAGTTTGTATTAATAAATACTAAAAAATTTTGGTGAAATGGAAAATTATTAATTTAAAAACTATGGAAATTAAAATAATTGCTTTTTTTTTCTGAATAAAAGTCTTTTAAATCATGTAATTTTTAGCATTGGCCTTTGCGATTATTAGATACCGTAATAGTTGAATTACCGTAATTCGAAAAAATAGTTGAAAAAATAGCGAATTGATTCTGTTTTGAACTTCAGTTCCGTTTGTGCTTGAAGCAAAACATGCCTGAACTTAAATAGGAAACCTCAGTTTTGATTCACAAAAAATTTATACCTTAGTGGCTTAATTTAAGCGCAAATTTATGCTTTTACTCTCTAAAAGGCCAATTTTTAAAGAAGATTTTGGACAATATTTGCTTTGAGTTTTTAATCTATTTAGATCGACCGTCTGCAAATAATTTGAACTACCCTCTCTGAAAATTTGATTTTTTAAATGAAACACTTAATTGAACATTCCAGGTCTGCAAATGCCAGCTTTCACCATTTGTAGCAAATTTATCTATATTTCTTAAACTTAATTTATAGGCAAATCATTAAACTTGGTTACTATCTATCACAGTAAGCCAATGGATTTAGCAAAGTTTCGAAAAACACACCTTTGGAAGTTGTTTGGCTTTTCCTTTTTATGGTAGTGCGTTTTCATTTCGCCCAAAAAAGTTTCATAGAGGATAGCTTTGATCCTTTGCTCCGATATATCCGATATATATATATATATATATATATATATATATATATATATATATATATATACATGTGTGTGTGCGCCCTCTCTCTCTCGGGAATTTTTTGCCTACCTTACATCTTTAATGAAAATGGGGATACAGAAAATCTAACTAAAGTTAGACTGCTCGCAAGAAATTGGTATAAGAGAAAATAGTTTTCAATAACAAATGATTAAGTATTCAGAAAAAATCGTATGATGATCAAATATCAAATTTCAAGTTCACAAACAGTTTTTTTCATGAACTACCTAAAAATTACAAATAGAAACAAACTAATCATCACGAATAGTTTCAAATGAATTGAAAGTTGACTTGCAGTCATAAGAGGATTTTCTAAGCCATAACAAATGGACGCCTTTAGTTTAACCTATATGTCAGAGTAAAGATTTGCTCAAAAACTGTGAGCAATGAACTCATACAAGGTGCACTCGGAATCATACTCCTAAGCCACGGGAACAAATTAGGCAGTGAAAATCTAGTTTGGAGAAACATCGCTGCCTTGCTTAATATTTTATTTCACACCGATAAAGTTGAATCTTTGGGCTGTTTACGCCAAAAATTTATTTCCTCTTCTTTCAAAAATTGCCCTGAGGGTTCTCAGTATTCCTAAGTCGAGTGCGACTATGTTCGCTTTCATTCATTTTTGTTTTCATTCATTCGCTTTCATTCTTTCAAAGAGTATTTTCGCTTTCATTCATTCAAAAAATCTTAATCGACTTTCAGTCGAAAGAGCAGATAAACTTGTTTTCATATACTGCAATGCTGCTTTACTTGATAATACTAATCATAATGAATGTTTCGGGGATTTTGAGTTTGTGTAAATTGAACAGTCTTCAAACTTGTTAGTTTCATGCGGACCCTGATTTTTGAAACTTACTAGTAAGAAAAGTAACTTACTAGTAGAAAGGGGTAACTTACTAGTAACTTACTAGTAAGCAAATTTTACTCACTAGTAACTGCATTTTTTCAATTAACATATTCGAAGAATATTAGAAAATAAGCTTGAAGGAGGAACCTTTTGACAAAATGTTTGAAAGACCTGTGAAGACGAAGATTTTTTATAGCGAGAAAGACTCATGACTAAGAATCATGGACTCGTTTAAGATGGAAGTAAATAGTTGGGCTTTAAGATGCGACCTTGTGTTCGACTGTTTGTTTCGAGTTTGGGTTCGATTTTATCTTTCGACCTTGATCTCCATTTTATATTTCGATCTTTTTGGTCGACGTTATGTTTCGAGTTTGAGTTCGACTTCATGCTCCGTTTCGTCTCTGTGTTCGACTAGAGGGCCTTCTCGACTATGATTCGGTCACACTCTGAATCACAAAACTCAACCCGGGTAATATGAAGAAATTAAATTATACAAAGAAAGTCTGACAATTTCCGAGACGGAATGTACACTTAAACGAGTTGAAAGATAACAATTATGAGCTGACAACATAAGCTACGACTGTTCTCGCTAGAATTCATAGCGAGAAAAAAACCAAGGTCGTTACTGATGAATTTTCGGGTGAACGATGCACTGTGTGTGAGAAAAAAACGAAAAAATGAAAGATCAAAACAAAGATCACAAATTTTTGAGACTCTGTTTTAAATTTGATTTATTAATGTTTTCATTTTGCGTTTTTTATGACATTGGAATCTGCGGGGGCGTTCAACAGTGCCGAAGTACAACAGTGCCGAAAAGGTGGGAAAATTTCAGCTAACGCAATTTCGAAAGAGCGGAAAATTACTGACGCTAATTATCTAAAAAAATCACTCCAATTTTGGCACCAAAATGTCTGCAACTGCAAATAAAACAATTATTTTGGCGCCAAAACGTCTGAATTGCAAATTTTCTCACTCAAAATCTTTAAGTGTCACTTAAGATTGTTAACGTTTGCCGTTTAATTTTTGATTGCCGCGCTTAGGTGCGTATTCATAGGTCCCAAAATGAAAAGTCAGTCCCATAAGTTCCAAAATAAAAAAGCAGTCGCATAAGTCTTTTCAATTGTTCAAAAGATTAAATGAGCCGAGTCTCGATTTAAGGTCGCAGCTGGGCGCGCTACGCGCACGTCGTCGCTTCGCGGCAAAAACCGGCTCTAAATTTTGTATAGAGTCCTACCCTTTGGTGGCAAGCTCGCAACACGTTGGCGCGGCTGCGGCGGTCACTATTATGCAGCCTCAGTTTATGCTGCTTGAACAGTATATAATCAATCCAGCAATTCGTTGGCTCAAATTTCAACCAATCAGAACTCAATAAGATAAATTTTGGGACTTATGCGACTGATTATTGTTTTGAGAGCTATGAATATTGGAACCTATGGGAATTCACCCGCATATGTTGAAATTTGTTCATAACTTCGGCACTGTTGACAAAGTTTTCATTTTCGGCATTGTTGAAACAATTTTTTTTCGGCACTGTTGTACTTCGGCACTGTTGTACTTCGGCACTGTTGTACTGTTCCAGTTCTGCTTCTAAATACCAAAATTAATGGCAGTTCATTATTCTTTGTTGACTTGTAATTTCCGATAATTACGGTTAATTTACGTATGAAATGAAATGTTATCAATCAGCCAGCTACCCGAAACCAATCTACCTCAGAACCAAAACGAAGCAGAATTAACGACGACGAAAAACAAAGCGATACTGATTTTTAACCAGGGTGAGAAGATTGATCGGAGTGACAAAGGAGTATGGAGTACGAAAGTCTACTCACAAAGAAAAGGGTTGAATCTGAGCTAAGCAGAAAAAAAGAGTGAAAGAGCCGAAAGACAAGCGAGCGTATATATGGTTTAGAAACTCCTTGGGGAAAACGAATTCTGACAAAAAAGAAGAATGAGGAATGAAGAAGAAGAAAAGATGATATGGCTACCAGAAAACTGATTTTTTTTGTCACTGATGATGAACCATTGTTGGATCAAGTGAACAAAAAAGAAGAAGAAGGTTCGATAGGACGAACATCAGAACTTCACGGCGTGGGAAGCCAATACGTTTGAGTTTACAAAGTTCGACTGTACACATGAATAAAATAGCGAAATTAGCGAAGCCTTTCAGAATGAAGTTGTTTAACAAGGCTAAGCAGGGTGAGTTTTTGAGTTTTCGAAAAAAAGTGAGACTACGACCGTCAAACAAGCCTTATAAGTGCTCAGGCAATCAATCGAATCAAAAGATACCTGAAATACGATGTGTTGCCACTTGAAAAAATATGGAGTTGAGGCCCGTACCGAAAAAACTCTTTATTTCTGACCTGAAACACTTTGTATCTAATCTAACTTCGGTTCAGAAATGCTTTTTAAAATGTTTAAATAAAGCATGGATTTTCTTTAAATTCTTCAATTTTCATCCTAATTCTGATCAGAAATTAGCTAAATCTAGGCTATTTCTAGTTAGAAAAATGGTTCTCCTGGTGGGGCTCCAACCCTGACCTTCTGATTTCTAGACATTTTCTCTATCCACTAGGCTCTAGGCCTTGATGTAGTACGGTAGTTTTAGCAGTATAACAGTTGTTATAACAAGTGTATGTTTGTATTGTATTGCTACTGTTATTTTGTATACTCGAAACCTGTTTATCTCGTTGCGGTTGAGCAGTGAACTGATTATTCTGGTTATTTTGGTTACTTTGGTTACTGATTATTCTGGTTATTTTTTTCCAGAAACTGTTTAAATCTAAGTAGAAAACAAATAAATCACTTCTGTACGGAAAATACGGGAAAACTAGGCTAGATATTCTATATAAAGTTTCTATCTAGAAAAACAGCTTAGGTTGGGTACGGGAGGGGGGAGGAGGACACTGCGGTCTCAAAACTAGTGTGATTTTATGTGTTGGCGATAGGGTTGTACGGATTTACTCACTAGTAAGTAAGTTACTAGTAAACGTACTAGTAGCTTACTAGTAATAAAAATAAGGCATATTACTAGTAAGTTGAACAAAATAAATTTTTGTAAAGAAATGTGGCTCAATTATAATGAGCGTGAGTTTTCACACCTCATGAAAACTGCCTAACGCGCATGACTAATCAGTCTGCAGACTGTATGTAAATCCAACGCGATCAATAACAAAGGCTGCGCTGATTGGCTGATGAGGTACATTTTCGCATTCATTTTCGCGCGCTTATCCGTTTCAGTTAGTTTTGTTCATTGAAATGAAATACGAAATCACATCAAGTCTCAGAGATAAAAGCACGGCTACGGCTACTGCAAGACATGTGGGCAACGGATTTTTTGGGGCCTATAGAAGCTCGAAAGTCACAAACGGGGGGCAAATGCAATGGCCAGAATCCTGCCGAGAAACTACTGACGGGCCGACGGCTGACGGACCCTAAAAATTTTCTAAATACAAATTTGGACAGGGGAGAGCGCCTAAAAACGCTGTACTGGCCTGTTT